TGTTGAAATGTATACATAACGACAAGAATATCATCCCTATGTAGACTCAAGACAAGAAATGGATTACTAATGTCATTTGAGACAATGGACTAGCTAACCTTTCCATTGCATGTTTCAACATACTGGATCATGGCTTAATGACAACCTTTTCAAAGATGTGGCAAGAGGAGGGAGACAAACAGCTTCCACCTTCCAGTTAGGAAGATGATAGTGAAACTAGACGATGTGTCACGCGTTATACATTTAGGGACACATCCTTGACCATATGGTTATTACTAAAATTTAGTCGGAAGATGTATCTCCATACTCGCCATCTCAATTTATTCCTAATTTAACAACTCAGTGACTTTTCCAAAAGTGCATTTCCAGATTTATGAAGTGGTAATTTGAAAATCTGCTACCTTTTCACGTCAGTCACATTTCTGGAGTTGTCAAACATGATTTTTAATAAAACAAAATCTTGCTTGATCAAACACCATTACCATTTTTTCTCAAAATCCTGACAAAAATCATTTCATTCTCAATCATATTTGCACTCCAAAACTTTAATCTTTTATTTCAACACATCAAAAGGAGCAAAAGAAACTAAAAATCAAGGTAAAGATCGTTTATTTCATTCCTCATTGCTCACATTAATCTTGTTTTCTAGATGAAAAAGTTATATTGCGTTCGAAAATGCATTTTCGTATTCTATATGAATTCCTCCAGGATGCATTTTCGAATTTATTTTATGTTCATTTTCAATCTATTTTTGTATATTTTATATCATTTGCTCGCAACATTAGTGGACCGCTAACGAAGAATAAATGGACGTGCTTCCCTGAAAAGGGATATCTTATAGCAAGTGTGTATGAAAGAGTGCGTATTGATCTAATAAGATACGATTTATTGGAAACATTTTTTCCACTGCACACTGCCACACCTCTATATCCAAATGATAGTATTATGTCTATCAGATGGATTTCAAAAATACGGCACTGTTGTTCAAGTTTATTTGAAACTGAGACGTCTTATACAACTAATATCACTGTAATGGACACCTCATTCATCAAGGAAAGTCGAGACTTGGTCAGATCATTTCTTGAAAATGATGCAAGAGTTTTCCAAGTTGAACGAGATTGAAAGATAATTGAATAGACAAAAGTCAAAGGTGGTACTACCCATAGATATAGATTTTACTGGTGACACGTGTTTAGATTCATTTTAAGTTTTTAGTCAATAATGTATTTATGTGGTTATACATGTTTTGTATGTAATCTTGTATTAATATTAATGATGTCAAATATATATATATTTTTAAATATTTCAATACATGCTTAAGTTTCCAGACAATTTCTCCATTTTTCATTCTAAAATAGGTTTTGCTTCTCATTGTTTCTAAATTTGCTTTTGTATTGTGTGGTTTCAAAAATGCATCTCTGTAATCGCAGGATAGGGTGATTTCAAAAATGCATTTTCGAAATTTTCCCTACTACAAGATAGAATTTTCAAGGTCCATATTAGATTAAAACTTGTATAAGTATGGGGGATCTCATTTCATATTTCTTACCAAATCACATTACAACATAATGAACATCAATTGACATGTTGCATTTGTCTACTTCAACGGGACGAAACCATCAATTCAATTTCAGTTCAATGAGTGCATTCCTCTTCTAGATCTAAAATTCATATTGGAGAATCTCCTATCATACTCTGACAATCAAAAAATTGTGAAGCTCGAGTACCATTCGCCCGCGATTAACAATGAATGAAAGATTGAGTTCAGCAACTTTGAGCTAAAGATGGGTGCAAGTTTAAGGGTTATGTAGAATACAATTTTCTTTTACGAAACAAAATATTTGATCGAGCTGGATGTGACGATTGCAACATCGATCGAAGATATTATGGAGAAGTTAGAACATCCACCTGGATGTTAAAATATAATGTTTAATTTATAATGTTTCGTTTTTTATCATATATTTATTTTGTCATATAATAATAATAATAATAAAAAAATACATTTTTCCTCATAAAAAAAAATTATATATTCATTAATGATAATTAAAATATTTTAAAAAATGACACGACCATTTATCCAACAAAATCACGTAGTCAAGTAACAAAATTACGTAATCAAGTGTTCAATGGTCAGGTCAGAGAGTTGTTAATTGAACTCCAAGAATGATTGCATAACTTTGCCACATAATTTGGTTTTGACAACAAAGGGACTTCCATATCAAACCAAATTGAATCGGATGATTCCATCTCTAAATAAATTTTAAAAAGTCATAAAATTTAAATAATGTTAAAAATATCACAGAATAAATCAATTTTACATGTTTGTTATTTTTATAGATTCCTTCCTCTAAAAGTAGTGTTATTATAATAATAATAATAATAATAATAATAATAATAATAATAATAATAATAATAATAATAATAATAATAATAATAATAAAATAATAATAATAATAATAATAATAATAAAACTAATAATAATTTTAATAATAATAATAATAATAATAATAAACATAATAATAATAATAATAATAATAATAATAAACATAATAATAATAATAATAATAATAATAATAATAATAAACCATAATAATAAACATAATAATAATAAACATAATAATAATAATA